CGGGGCTGTGTTTCTTGTCTGCTCTAGCCACACCTATCTGGAAAACCCAGGTAGAAAACAAGGGGGGCTGACAAGATCCATGTGCCTCAACAGGCTGTGAGTATGTGAGTGAGTGACCATCAGCCGAACCTGGGAGCAGCATGTGTAACAGATGGAACTGCATTGTCAGTTCAAAAGTGAATCCCATTTTCAGTGAGATTTCTTCCTGTGTATAAAATTTCAGCCAGAAGCTCCATCTTCTGGTTCTAGTAATGTCTATGATGATGCTGAGCATGCTACTTCAACTCAAGTGAACCTAAACATATCTTGCTATACAAGTCATTCAAATGAGAGACTTTTGGAGGAACAGCAATACCTAACATTAAAATGATCTCAATATTTATAGTATATGCAAACATTAAAAAAACCTCAAAAGTTAGACCAACAACGTAATATCACAAATTATTTCAAGCATCACCAGTGTGGTTCTGATCAGCATTGGGAGACCTTGCAGCAGCCAAGGATCCACTTGGATATTCTCAGATATGAATCCAAACATAACTGGAAACTATAGTAGCTGGAAGCTGGTGTAGTAAACTAGTGGCAATAGGAGCTGGTGGAGAATTACTAAGGCAAAAGTTTGAAAGTGGCAGTTCCTCCACTGTGGCTTTTTCCCATCAACCATTTTAGGATTGCTCTGCCTATATTTTAAGCCAATTGTTTATCAGCTAGACACCTAAATATAATCCTTTTTTGTTTTCAGACTTTTCAAATTTTATTCACCATGAGGTTTTGATTGTGAAATGTTTTGGAGTTTGCGATTGGTACAGAATAAAGTACAGCAGATAATACTGATCCAGCAAAATTATGGATTTCTGTGTACTCTAAGCATGTCATATAACAATGAATTCAGTAATGGACACATATTTAGTAAATATTTAAAAGTCTATCATTCTAAGTACATGGACTGTGTTATGTGCAGTTTTCAAGCAAAGACATTCAATTAATTTGTAAGTTTCTGGTATCAGAAACTGCTTTCATCAAGCTAGCAATCTTTCAACATTGATAAGGAGGACCATTCTTCACTCTACCTTATACATATAATTCAGAAAGAATTATGATGTCTTTGCTTCTTATTTTCCCTTATACTCAAAATAAAAACAACAACAACAAGGAGCATAGGTGGGCATGGAGTGTTGCAAGTACACCAGACAGTTGAAGAAGAAAAAAGGACATTAGAAGAATATCTGAAGGACAGTCAAAAAGATACACTGAAGCCAGTACACCATGAAGGCTTACTGAATACCAAAGAAACCAAACCGGCCTATAAGAAAGACCAAATGAAGTACAAAAAAGAACAAATGAAGAACAAAAAAGAGGCATGGCAAGGCAAAATATTACATGGTCAGTACATATTAGCAGGCAAAACAGATAACAACAAGACCTGGCAATGGCTAAGAGCAGGAAAGTTGAAG